ACAAGCATGGTTGAATTGAATTGCCTCAAATTGAGAAGAAAGTGTTTTTTTCCAGTCTTAAGTTCATTGACCTCCATTGATTACATATATACACAATCAATCTGTAAATCATAATCGCCTTATCAAAAATAAATTAAAATATGACAAAAAAGAACCCTTCTTTGGGTGCTAGATTGTACAGATAAACCTGTGGTCCCTTCTAATATTTATGTTTTTAGATATACTAAAACTTTTTTTTTCACCTACTTGTAGATGAATATAGCCCACCTCATTAGGTATAGGAAGTTTCATGTAGAGTAGGGTCACACTATATCATGAGACATTGTTGACTTATTCTTGTACTGAACAACAAGGATAGGCTTAATCCGAAGAAAAATAATTTATATTGATGTGAGAAATAACTTTTTGTTTGACAAGTCAATGAACCCAGAACAGAATAGGTATGGAAATTATTTTTAAATGAAATTAATATATGGTGAAGATTAATCAGTTTTAGATGCTTTATAGAGATTATCTCCCAAACCATAAAGCCTTTAACGTTTTTCATTCATGTCTTCCCTTTCCAGTTGCCAGGACAAGTCAGAATCCTTTCATTGAGGGCATCTATGAGGACCTTGAAGTGGGGGACAACTATGAAGAGGTAGAAGAGAAAGATATCAGTCTGTCAGGAGAAGAATATGATGATATTGAAGAAAGTGAGAAACATCTGACTGAGACAGAATATGATGGAGAGGAGGAAGAAGAGAAAGCTGTCACTTCTTCAGGTCTTCATATGTCAGCCCTTATTTCCATTTTCCTTTCTTGCATGTATAAGGAAGTTTTGATACGTGCTTAGATACATAGACAGTGGGGAAATCATAGACTCACTCTTTTAACAGTCAAAACTTTCACTGCCAGCTATTTTGAGGATGTCCTATCACTACAAACCTTTTAGTAAAGGATGACTTTGGAGGGTTTTAAAAAAAATGATAATAAACCTATTCATATTTTCATCTTCGCATTATTGCATGAAAGACACCTTTCTTATTTCCAGTCCAACATTTTTCAATTTTTTTTTTTTGCCTCAGATGAGATTGTCTTCCACTCATTTCACCTTTTAAGTTGATAGCTTTCATTCTTAGGTTTTCTATCATTGTGCCTTTCCTGTCTTAGACTGCCCTAGGAAAGGAAACCCAGACAATCTGGTTCCAGAAAGTTTATATCATACATGTCTCTTTAAAATGAGGCAGCCTGGGGTCTTACTCAGCAGCCTTTCTTACTTCATATCAGTCAGCAATAACTACAACACTCCACCAACAGTGTTGAAAGAACCCAAAGTTGGCATTGATCTTGTACTGGAGTATTCCCACATGGGAGAGTGGAATTCATTGCTAATGACTGAGAAAATAGGGCCACTCCAAACTATGTCTCCTTCACCAAACAAAATATTTACTTGGGGATGCTACAAAGAATCAAGTTTCAATGAACCCCACCAACATAGTCTGATTGGTTGCAGATTTGATGATGCAGTTTTAAGGTCAGACATGAAACAATGGCTTTTCATGGTGGTGGATTATGCAGACAGGCCCAATTTCCAATGTAGCTCAAAGAAGAGATAAAAAATTTCTCTCCAGAAGATGCACCTTCTATGGTCTTGACAAAGATGAAAGAAATGGTTGAAGCTTCCCTTAGGAAGACTACTACAATTGCTGTCATCACAATACCTGCGTACTTTAGTGATTCCCAACACCAGGCCACCAAATATGCTGGAACAATCACTGCTCTCAATGTGTTCCAAATCATCAGTGAGCCAATTGCTGCTGCTGTTTCTTATGACTTGGACGAAAATGTTGGTGTTGAGAGAAATGTGCTGATCTTCGACCTTGGAGATGGCATCTTGGATGTATTCATTCTATATCATTGAAGATGGTATCTTTGAAGTCAAGACCATAGGTGAGGACACTCACTTGGGTGGGAAGGATTTTGACAACTACATAGTCAATCATTTCATTGCTGAGTTTAAGCAAGAGCACAGTAAGGCTATCAGTGAGAAAAAAGAGAGCTGTCCACTGACTGAGCACCACTTATGAACATGTAAATTATATCCTGTTTTCTAGTACCCAGGCCTATATTGAGACTTATGCCCTTTATTAAGGGATATAATTCTATACTTCGATCACCCGTGCTTACTTTGAAGAACTGAACGCTGACCTCTTCCATGGTACATTGGATCCAGGAAAAAGGATGCCAAACTTGATAAATCATAGATTCATGACATAGGGTGGGTGGTCCCACTCATCTCCCCAAGACTGAGAAACTTCTACAAAACTTCTTGAATGACAAGGAGCTCAACAACACTATCAATCCTGATGGGACTGCTGTCCATGGTGCAGTTGTCCAGGCTGCCATCTTGTTTGGAGCTTAATCTGAGAATGTTCAGGACTTGACGTTTTTGGATTTTTTTTTTGGTATTGAAACTGGTGGTGAAGTAATGACAGTTGTGATCAAATGCAATACCACTGTGCCTACCAAGCAGACAAAACATTTCCACCTACCCAGACAACAAGCCTAGTGTGCTCATTCAGGTTTATGCAGGTGAGAGAGGCAGTGATAAAGGCTAACAACATGCTTGGTGAGTTTGAACTAATAGGAATTCTCCTTACCTTAAGTGGGTAATCGTCAAATGCAAAAGGCATCCTTAATGTGTCTTCTGAAGACAAGCTCACAGACAAAAAGAATAAGATCACCGTCATGAATGACGAAGATCATTGGGGAAAAGAAGACTTTGAGTATGGTTCAAGAAGCTGAGAAACACAAGGCTGAAGATGAGAAGCAGAGAAACAAGGCGCTTTCCTAGAATTCACTTGAATCTTATGCTTTCCACATGAAGGCTACATTAAAGAACGAGAAACATCAAGGCAGAACTAATGATGAAGACAAACAGATGATCCTTGACAAATGTAATGAAATGATCAACTGGCTGGATAAGGACCAGACTGCTGAGAGGGAAGAATTTGACCATCAGCAGAAGGAATTGGAGAAAGGTCAGCTGTCCCAGAGGTCAAGGGGCATGCCTAGTGTGTTTCCAAGTGGTGGAGCAGCCTCGTCAAGATGTATTTCTTCTGGGCCCACCTTTGAAGAGGTTGACTGACTACACCAGAAGAAACAGCATTCCACATAGCTTTCCAAAAAGTTGCTTTGTGTCCTGCACCCAAACCTCACTAGAATGACCCTTTCCTATAGCTCACTCTCTTTTGATGATCTCGTCAGTAATCTCTGACACTGGCAGTCAGAGGGAGGAGCAGGTGTGGGTTAGCAAAGATTAGAAAAGGATATAGATGAAGAGAAATTGGGCAGAGTGAAAAGGGAAGGGTGGGGGAAAGGATATAGGTGTCACAGAAATGGAATGGGGAAATGCAGAAATCAAATTATAGACGGGAAGGAAAGAAAAATGGGTGAAGAGAGGAAAAAGAATAAAAGAACTAAAAACTAAGAGAAAATAAAAGGAAGTGGGAAAAGGAAGGGAAGAGAATGAAGAACAAAAGCATTAACATATGCAATTTCTGGAAATCATGAGATCATGGAGAAAAATGACTTGGAGCAGAGGGATTGACTGGAAAGAGAAAAAAGGAAATATGTGCAATATACATGCTAGCATATACACACACACACACACATATATATATGTATACATAGCTTATGTGTAATATATGTATATATTTGTAAAACACCAATTGTGATCAAAAGTAATTTTTCTAGTCTAGGAACATTTTTTTTAGGCAATTGTGGTTAAGTGACTTGCCCAGGGTCACACAGCTAGTAAGTTTGGTCTGAGGCTGGATTTGAACTCAGGTCCTCCTGACTTCAGGGCCGATGCTCTATCCACTGTGCCACCTAGCTGCCCCTTAGTCTAGGAATATTAAAAAAATCATAAAATCATCTTTGGTTTGGTATACTTGGAGATGAAAGGCCTAAAAAATGTGGGATATTCACACTCAGGTTTTCCCACTGCAAATCTAGCCTTCTTTCCACTATGCCATAGGTCCCAAAAAGCTTTTCAAAGCAAATTCTTTTCTTAGTCTAGAATAGTTTTATTTTTTCACTAGTGTGGTACCAGTAGTTGTTTGGAACCAAGAGAAATTATTGACTACCTGGAGGAATAGAGGCAGTTTCTTCTTCCTAGTTATCCTCATAGTGAAGACTTTCATGGAGTAATCAATTTCCCTCTAAAATTTCAGGCTTGGTGCCTCCTCTTGTGGACATCAATGAGCTTCTTGTGGAAGAAAGCGACCTATCTTTGCCTCCTGGATATGATGATGTCGAACTGGATATTTTGGGGATGTCATTGTAACAAGACAATTTTAAATAAAACATCTCAAGAAATGAGAAACACATTCTCATCCTCCCTTTGGTCTAGCACTTTGGGGAACATTGATGTTGTTTATATTTCTAATTTCACTAAAATGTTTTTACTGGCCCTAGTTTTTCTTTCCTTTTGTAACTGGTCCTTGGATTTTTTAATCAAATGATGTCTGAAGTAGTATGAAGTAAGTACTAAGCAGTTATTGCCATCATGGAGATTGACAAGGATTGTCAATTGGCCTGATTTTGCTCTCGGAGACATTTTAATTCCTAAACAGTGCCCCACATGTCCAATCCTCTCATTTTACTGATGAAAAAAGTTGAAACCCAGAGAAATTAAATAATATGTCAAGGGTCACAAGGCTAGTGATTGTCTGGGGTGGGGTATGAACCCAGTTATTCCTGACTTCAAGTCTCATGTTCCATTCACCACTCCATGTTTCTTGATGGTGACTGAAATGGATAATGTCTTAATCGAGTGTAGTAAATACACCATATGATGCTCTGGGTATCCAGCAGAATGTAAGATTCTTGAAGATAGAGACTATTTCATTTTTGTCTTTGCATCCCCAGACCCTTTCAGTGTCTTGCATGTAGCAGCTTCTTAATAAATGGTTATTAAAATGATTGATTTCTCTTATCTTTAATGGGGTGTAAACATGACAATAAGAAAGCTTGGCTTCAATTTAAAGGATAATGGGATAGGTGAGAACACCTGAAACCCATATGGAAATAAAATGTTGTTCACAAGCCCATGAAAAAAATTAACAGATAAAGATAGTTTTCAACATTCGTCTTTGTAAGATTTTGAGCTCCAATGTTTTCTCCCTTCCCTGCTCTTTCCCCAAGACAGCAATCTGATATAGGTTATACATGTATAATCATGTTAAGCATATTTCCACATTAGTCATGTTTTGAAAGAAGAATCAGAACTAAAGAGGGAAAACTATGAAAAAGAAAAAAAAAACCAAAACCAAAACCAGATGGAAATAGTATGCTTCGATCTGCATTCAGACTCCATAGTTCTTTCTGCAGATGTGGGTAGCATTTTCCATTATGAGTCCTTGGTCATCTTGGATGATTGCAGTGCTGAGAAGAACAAAGTCTGTTGTCATTGATCATCACACAATGTTGCTGTTACTGTGTACAATGTTCTCCTGGTCCTGCTCACTTCACTTAGCATCAGTTCCTGTCTTTCCAGGTTTTTCTGAAATCTGTCTGCTCCTCATTTCTTATAGAACAATAGTATTCCATTACATTCATATACAACAACTTGTTTAGCCATTTCCCCAACTGATGGACATCCCCTCAATTTCCAATTCTTTACAGCAAAAAGAGCTGACATAAATATTTTTATACATTAGGGTCCTTTCCCCTTTTTTATGATCTCTTTGGGACACAGACGTAGCAGTGGTATTACTAGATCAAAGGGTATGCACAGTTTTATAGTCCTTTGGTATAGTTCCAAGTTGCTCTGCAGAATGGTTGGATCAGTTCACAATTCCACCAACAATGCATTAGTGTTTCAATTTTACCACATCTTCTCCAACATTTATAATTTTCCTGTTTTGTCATGTCAGCCAAACTGATAGGTATAATGTGGTATCTAACAGTTGTTTTGATTTGTATTTTTCTAATAAATAGTGATTTAGAATATTTTTTTTCTCATGACTATAGATAGCTTTAATTTCTTCATCTGCAAACTGCCTGTTCATATCCTTTGACCATTTAACAACTGGGGAATGGCTTGAATTCTCATAAATTTGACTCAGTTCTCAATATATTTTAGAAATGAGATCTTTATTAGAGACCCTGGCTGTGAAAATTATTTTCCAGCTTTCTGCTTCCCTTCTAGTCATGGTTCCATTGTTTTTGTTTGTGTAAAACTGTTTTAAATATTATATATGCATATATAATATATATTCAAAATTATCCATATTGCATTTAACAATGTTCTCTATCTACTATTTGGTCATAAATTCATCCCTTCTCTATCGATCTGACAGATAAAGTATTCCTTGCTCTCTTGATTTGCTTATGGTATCACCCTTTATGTCTAAATCACATATCCATTTTGGCCTTATCTTGGTATAGAGTATAAGATGTTGGTCTATGCTTAGTTTCTGCTCCAGTTTTCCCAGCAGTTTTTGTCAAATAGTGAGTTCTTATCCCAGAAGCTGGAGTCTTTGAGTTTATCAAACAGTAGATTACTATAGTCATTGACTACTGTGTCTTGTGTCCCTAACCTATTCCACTGATCTACCACTCTATTTCTTAGCCAGTATCAAATAGTTTTGATGATTGCTGCTTTATAATACAATTTAAGATCTGGAATGGCTAGGCCACCTTCCCTTGTATTTCTTTTCATTAATTCCCTTTATATTCTTGACCTTTTGTTCTTCCAGATGAATTTTGTTATTATTTTTTCTAGCTCTATAAAATAAGTTTTGGCAGTTTGATTCATATGGCACTGAATAAGTAAATTAATTTAGGTCAAATTGTCATTTTTATTATATTAGCTCAGTCTAATTATTTAGATCTGACTTTATTCACATGAAAAGTATTTTGTAATTGTGTTTGTATAGTTCCTGGGTTTGTCTTGGCAGGTAGACTGTCAAATGTTTTATATTGTTTCCACTTTCCTTCTAATCTTGATTGCATTGGTTTTGTTTTCACAAGCCAATTTTAAAGGTATTCTAGGACATCAATGAAATGTGTTTCTGAGATTACCTAGATGAACTACTTCTCATCTTGGTGTCTTACTGGGTTGAAGTACATCAAATATGAACATCACTCTTGTCCTTCCTTACTCTGTATTCTTCTGAATAAACTCAAAGATTGACTCGATAGTGTAATCAAATGAATGAAGACCCATTAAGTGAAAAAAGAAGCACTGCCCCTCAAACTCAGGCCGAATAGTTCTAATATTAGTGGAGTAAGGGGAAAAATATGGGCTGCCTTAGAAAGTCAATCAGTCAACAAGCATTTACTATGTGTTATATATATATATATATATATATATATATATATATATATATATATATATATATATATATATATATATATATATATATATATATATATTATACATATATATATATATATATATATTATATACATACATACATACATATATCTGTGTGTGTGTGTATACATATGTATATACAGAAAGAGAGAGAGAGAGAGAGAGAGAGAGAGAGGAGAGAGAGAGAGAGAGAGAGAGAGAGATTAGTGGCTTTTTCCAGGATGCTGTAGGCACCTCTTCGCAAAGATGAGAAGAATTAGATGGGAAACTGCATATGATGTTGAATTTGGTTGGCTAGTGCTGCCGACCACTTCCATTCCCCCCTCTTTTATCACTTGTTTAAGATTTTCTGAAAGGAAGGTAAAGGAGAGATCACTGGGAAAAGTGGATGGTATAAAAACAAAAGCTTCAATAATGTTAAAAAGTAAAATATAATATACCTGGTTCATTCTACTTACTTTGTGGCTCTTGCAAAGATCAAATGGGATGTCTGTGAAAGCACTGCATAAAGTGGGAGGTACATGTTATTGTTTCTGTCATATGCTGTAGAACATTTAATATGCACTGTTATATGCAATAAGCATTGAAAGGCTGTCATGAAGCTCAGAAATTTCCTGACTTTTACTGTTAATTGAGAGTGCTCACACATTCTAGGCAGATACTTTCTAAAAAATCTTATTTTGATCAAAATCTGATATTATCCTTTTTATTTCTGAATATAGCTGTACTCCCTTACCCAAGGAGCCATCCCTTGTAACAAAGATTAAATTTAAAGAGGAAAAAAAGTCAATCAACAGACCCACTCAATATATCCACTATTGATTACAGTTTAGACGATTTTTCATAGCCATATACTGTCAACTCTGTAAAGAAGGAGAAGGAATTCTATTTCCTCAACCTTTCTCTGAGGCCCATCTTGGTCACTCATGGCATTAATTTTTTTTTCTCTTTGCCCTCATTGTACATGTTGTTTTCCTGGTTTGACTTACTTACTCTTTACTAGTTCATATGTATTTTCCCCATGGCATGTTTTCTCATTTCTCCAAAATCTTCACATTCATCATTTATTATCACATTGGGGAGCTGGGTGGTGCAGTGAATAGAGTGCTAGGCTTGGAGTCAGAAAGACCTGAGTTTAAATCCAACCTTAGAAACTTCCTAGCTGCCTAACCTTGGGCAAGTCCCTTACCCACTGTTTGCCCCTGGAGAAGGCAATGGTAAACCACTTTGGTATCTTTGCTAAGAAAATCCCTGGGATAGGGGTCCACAGGGTCATGAAAAGTTGGACATGACTGAGATGACTGAATAACAACAATATCACATTACTTTCAGTTATTGTCCTACAATTTGTTTAGCTCATCTCCTAGATGATGGGCATCTCTATTTCCAGTTCTTTTATACCAAAAAAATCACTGCTGTGAATATTTTGGTGTTTATGGAGACTTTCTTTTGCCTTAAGCTCCTTAAGATATATGCTTAGCAGTGGTACTTCTGTGTCAAAAATATGGACATTTAGTCACTTTTTAAAAAATAGCGTAACTCCAAATTGCTCTCTAGAATATTTGGACTGATTCACTACTCCACCAACAATGTATTAGTCAAACATTGATACTTATGGATGAATTGATAAAAATCTCAAGGGGCCATTGTCTTGATGGCCTGTGTTTATCTGATTTAAAAAAAAAAAGATGATGTATCCTTACCATACCCTAGCTGGAAGTACAGTGGTTACTCATGAGTTGATCCCACTCTGATTAGCAAGTGAGACTTAATGTTTTTGACTTGGGCTGGCTCACTCCTTTTTAGGCATCCTGTGGACCCATGACCACCATTTTAATGCTGAATTTAGTGTAGATACCCAACTAGTTTGGCCAATTGAACCTCAGAACTGCCCAGCTTAAGAAATCCATCAGCCTCAGCCTCTCCAGTCACTATGATCACAGTTGTATTCCACCACACTTGGTTCAATGTTTACATGGTACCAAGTATCCAGATGGAAATAAGAAAACATTAATTATATCATAGAATTTCAGAAATAGAAGGCAACTCAGAGGTCATCTATCTGGTCCAGTGCATAAGGAAATAATGAATCCACTATAAAGTTCTCTGATAGGTGGTCAACATCTATTTGAAGACCTACAGTAATAAGGAGGTTCACTACCTCTCAAAGTTCACTACCTCTGCTTCTGGACAAATACATTTTTAAGCAGATTGGCCTCAAAAGCTGGCCTCAAGGCTATTTGTGACGTCTACTTATGCAATTAGTTTTGCTATTCTCTTAGATGTTTCTAATAATCCAGTATTGTGAAGACAAAGCATTTGGGTGCTAAAATGCCTCCTTTTTCCTACATATGTTTTGATAAAGAAGTACAACCCGTATGTCTGCTGGTTGATTTTATATTTTCTGTTGAGATATGAATGAGGAAATTCTATGGGCATGGCCAACAGGAAAAATGTTCCTGAAATAAAGTAAACGTGGATAAATCCTTTGTTCAGAGTATTGCAGAAGGGATTCTTGTTTTGTTAAAGTGTTAGAATAGGTGACTATTTGGGTCATAAAGGATCATACAACACAGTGTTAGAATGAGCTACAGAGATCATTGAATGAAACTTACTCATTAAAAAATAAAGGAACACATACCCAGAGAGGTGAAGGTCACAGAGGCAATAAGTATCAGAGCCAGGATAAAATTCACTAGTTCTTTCTAACCAATATGATTCTATGACTTTATGAGTAAGGGATGGGGGAACTAAGGTAGCAAACCTCATGAAAGTTTAAGAAAAAAGAATCAAGAAGGACGCATTGGTGAGTTGTTTGTTTCTGTTATGACTGGTGGCACTTACAAATTACTACCATAAGTAGAAACTGTCTCAAAAGAGAATAAATTCCATGGTCCATGTTCTTTGGAGTTGTATACTTTTATTTTCTTGGGGAATTTTTGCTATTGCACATTGCTGATAATGTGCATAGAAAGGCATGTTTGTGGAGAAGCATGCTTAGAGAGAACTTATATGAATGGAATCTAGGTGTAGCTGTTTAGACTACAGGCAGTGGAGTTTTATTAGTTTATTTATTTTTGGACATAGTTCCAAATTATTTTCCAGAATGATGGTACTAGTTCATAGCCCCACCAACAGTGCATTAATATGTATATTTTCCCACAGCCTTCCCCAGACCTTGTCATTTTTCTCTTTTTTTGGCTAATTTTACCAATCTGAGCTATTTGAAGTGGAACCTCAGAGTTGTTTTAATTTACATTTTTCTATTTTTTTTTATGTGATGTGGCATCTCATATTTATGCTGATTATGAGTTTTGTCCCTCAGGGAGCAGAAGGATCTGCCTGGTGAATGGTACTGGCCACTGTGCTGGGCAAGTGGAAATCTACCACAATGGCACCTGGGGCACAGTGTGTGATGATGCCTGGGACCTCTCTGATGCCAATGTGGTCTGCAGACAGCTGGGCTGTGGTGTGGCCCTTAGCACCGTGGGATCTGCTCACTATGGGGCAGAGTCTGTTCTCATCTGGCTAGATGAGCTGAGCTGCCCTGGAAATGAGTCTGAGCTCTGGCAGTGCCCATCTCAAAGCTGGGGCCAGCATGACTGCAGACACAAGGATGCTGGAGTTCTCTGCTCTGGTCTGTCTATGGCTTTCTGGGACAGTTTGGGAACTAGTGGCTTTTAGTTCATAACTTCTAATGATGCTTGCATTGCAAAGATTTCAATTTACCTTTGATGAATTCTGTAAAACACATAGTGGGAATTGTAATTTAATTCTCAGAATGTTTGCTTCCATAATATAAAAGCCACGTTGGGGGCAGCTAGGTGGCACAGTGAATAGAGCCCTGCATTTGGAGCCAGGAGGACCTGAGTTCAAATCCAGCCTTAAACACTTAACATTTACTAGCTGTGTGACCCTGGGCAAGTCACTTAACCCCGATCAACTCACCAAAAAGCAAAAAAAAAAAACAACCACGTAGAAACACTGAGTACCATAACGTCAGGTAGATTAATGCTCCCAAAGTCCTTATTTCTGTGGTTAGCATCTCTATTTTCTGAGTTATTTAGGCTTCAGACTCATCTTTGTCTCATTCCTCTTCTCCATCCTACAAAATCCTTTATATCCATCCTCTCTTAAGAAACTAGCTTAATTCAAGTCATCTTTACCTTTTACCTAGACCCTTATTATAATCTTTTAACTGATCTCTCTGCTTCTAGTTTCTTTCCTTTCAAATTGACCCTATATGCCTGTCAAGAGTATTTATTTGTAGGTTTAACCATACCCAACACTTATTCTGGCAGTATCAATAAAGCAAGAGGAATTGTCCTGATCTCTAGTCAAGGTGGGGGTATGTGCCCAATGTACCATTGGGGCATATATTCAGGGCTATTGTACTGAAAACATGGATCTGAGGGTTGGGCCCACTATGGCTGCATCCACCTTACAGGACTAAGGTCTCCAGTTCACCTCTCTTGTGATTGATCTAAATCTGTCTTGCTTTCTCAAGGACTGCATTTGTTCTCTTGGAACACAGATGCTAGCGGGCCAAATGGTCAGTGACCCTGCACTTAAGCACTGATCATGGCTGCATCTCAATACCTGCTAACCCCCTGCTGCATTGTGCAGAGCTCTTCTCTTGCTTGGCCATCCATATTCTCCACAGTTTGAATCTCTTCTCTTCTTCTAGTCTTTCTGGAGACTATTTGTTCTACAAACATGCTGACTAGACACGAGAGGGGTGTCCTATCAGTTACTACCAAAGATTGTTACTTAGCTCCTTCTTAAAAGTATTAAAATATTAGTAAATCCCAAAAGTATTAAATTTTTCTTAAAAATACTTCTTAAAAGTATTAACAACTCCTTGTTCCAACCCTTCATGGTTCCCAATTGGCAGAACTCACTTATACTTTCTTACTAATTTTTTTTTTCTCTGTTATATAATTTACATTAGTGAAGCCACATCTTGCTTCTTGTTAGAATACACTCAAGGTCCTAGAAATTGCTTTAAAATGATGGTAATCCACACAAAAAGACCCTTTTCTTTTTCATCAGAGGCTTCTCAATCTAGGAGTTTTGATTTCCCCAATTTGCCAATATAAAGTACTTTAACCAAGTTGGTAAGTTTGGTCCTGGGCTTTCAAAGTTAGCTCATTTTGACTAAAGAATACCAGTGCCTATTTCTAAAATATGTGGAATGTCAGGTAGTAGCAATGTCACGTTAGGCAGGTCATTTGCGTAGAACATGACATAGGCAACCACTCCTTGTGTTTCCCCAGACTGCTCACCCAGGCCTTGTATAACCTTACTAGACTCTCCAGTGACCAGTTGTCCGTGTTTCATAACCTCAAATACAGACATGCCTACGTGAATAGGGAAGGGATCAGAAGAAGTTGTCACAGATGAAATTATCTTTTGACTTTGTGACATAGAACCATTAAGGCACCTCTCTTTGGTACTCTTGGTGGTTAAGATTCCAGGCAATTTAGAGCAAACATATACATAAAACAGGGGAAAGTAAACACAGATGATTTTTTTCCTCTAAGACACAATCCATTTATTTATTTTCCTCAAAATTATTATTCTTATCAGCAGGGTGTTAATAGCAACACAACAACAGTAGTATCAACAACAGCCAGCATTTATATAGCAACTTGAATTTTGCAAAGCATTTTGCGTATGCCATTTTATCTGTAGCTTACAACAACCCTGTGAATTAGATATTATTATCTCCGTTGTACAGATGAGTCAACTGAAGCAGATGGGGATTAAACGACTTGCCCAGCATCACACAGCCAGCAAATATCTGAGACAGGATTCAAACTCGGCTATTCTTAATTCCAATTCCAGCATTGTATACTGTGCCACCACCTAGCTGCCTAGCTGCTAAGTCTAACCGTAAGCATAACTAGTATGGGGTAGTAGTTAGAGCAGTGAACTTGGAGTCAGGAAGACTTGGGTTGAAATCCTACCCAGTACACTCGCTAGCTATAAGAACCTGGGCAAGTCACCTCCCTCCCCACTCTCTCACTTTTTTCACTATTTTCTTTAAAAAAAGTTTCAGTTCTTTTACAATTACATGTAAAAACAATTTTTAACATTTGTTTTTTAAAAATGTTGGCTTCAAATTGTCTCCATCCATTGCTTTTCTCCTCTCCATCAAGAAAGCAGTTTGGTATAGGCTTGATATACATGCGCAATCACACAAAATATTCACTTATTTTCAATCTCTCCCTCTTGGCCACTTTTTAGAGCATGATGTATGGACTCTGGAGGGCTCTGGGTATATATAGACAGCTTCTCTTATGGCCAGTGATTTTCTTTTCTGTGTCTTGCCACTGTCTAATAACTCCAGTTGTGAGGGCAAGCCAGACATAAAAAGAAACCCTCTCATTCTCTGCCCCATCTGCAATCTTGCTTTCTCTGACCCCCTATGTACTTAATTTTGCCTGAAGCAATTTACCCTTTGATGTCATAGCAACCTAGTTTCTGCCCTGTGGCACTGCTTGGATCTTTTCATAATGTCTAGCCTTCAATGGTACCTGTACCCTCAGAATATCAATATTTTGTCACAAAATATATAGCATAGAACATGCAGTTTTAAATGAATTCAGTTTGCAAAAGAAAACTCGTGTGCCTGTGTGTGTGTGTGTGTGTGTGTGTGTGTGTGTGTGTGTGTGTATTTAGTAAAACATAGGTTTTTATCCTTGAAGTCTGGCCAAATTTTTCTTAGACTTTTCCCTTAAGAGCCAAGGCTACTTTTAATAGTTCAATCAAAAATGGCTTTTATCAAAGACACCCTACTGTTCTTAGGTTCCCTGTGAAATTTTAGTAGTATGTCTAACTTTACCTAGCACTTTAACCAATTTGGAGCCTGGGAAACTTCACAAAACATACTATCAAATCAACTTTTTAAGGCTGATACAGCTGAGGGAGAGGGGGTAAAGAGACTGGAGATACAAGGTCCTTTGTACCTATAACACTCACCACCCAGGCCCCCACTGTCAGAAGGCCAGGTAGGTTACATTTCATCCTTCTCCCAGGATTATCCAGAATTTTTAAGGGGATTTGGGGGGCACCTAGTCTCCCCTGCAATGACACCAGCCCCTCCCTTATTTTTAGGGAGTGGTTCCCTGTATCTCAGTTCCATTTAGCCACCAACAGTTGGATTAACTTTTACAAAGAATATTTACTTCAAAAGTATAATAAAAAATTTACATATGTACTTGCCCGACATATGGAAGTCCTTCCCCCATACCACCTCAATCTCCGGAGAAGAGAAGGGATCTAATTCAATTTGATTTCTATACAGTTCAGTCCCAAGTTCCAAATCTGAAAGTCCCCTCAGACTTGAGTCCAAGACTCCCTGGCTTCTCAGGGTTTCCTTGCTGGCTGTTTGGTTGCAACATCTTGCCTGGTCATCATGACCCAAAGTTTGGGGCTAATAGATCTACTGGGTATCATCTCTTAATTCCCAGGATTAGAAAATGAAAATGACACAGAACAAACACAAACACCCTCAGGCCTATTTCTTGGAACCAGGGCAAAAGTGAGAAGGACGTCCTTCCCTTCACTGATTCAATTCTTGCTCCCCGGCTGTGGGTGAACTTTTTTCTTCATCCTCTGAACACAGTAGGAAGTAGCATTTAGGAAAGAGCTTGAGCCAGAAAGTGACTGTCTCACTGTGCCAGTATTAAAAATGTAGCCTGTTCTGACTAAGCAGCGTCAAAGAAAGCTCTACCCACCCACACGGTAAGGGATGCCGAGTGCCTCATGTTAAGAGCTCTGGACATGCCCAGGACAAGCCTTCTGGGTTGTCTCCATGCTATGGGAACTGGGCATGTTCTAAACGGCCCTCTTACATGGAAAACCCCAAGTCAATCACCTTGTGGTGGGAGATAAGAGTCCCTCATGTATTAGATTCATTGAAGGGAGACTTTGGTACATTTCAAGTCTACTGCCAGAGAGGCAAGGTCATGGTAGAGGTATCTTGGTATGCTTCTTCTGGAAAGGTAGCAAGCCTATCACCTGGTTATTTCCTAATTTAATTCATTAGCCTTGCTACCTAGGTGTTATACTCAGTTGTTTCTAAACTGCTCAAGTTCTATCTAAATTCTTCCTGCCAGTCTGATGACTCATTGGTCTCCTTTGTCGTATTTTTATCCACATTGTCCCTGCTAATCCTGGGTGTCCCCTAAAGCCTCTTACATCCTCTTCTCTTGTCCCTCTATATTATTTTCCTTGGTGATCTTATCACTTCACATGGATTTAATTATCATTTCTATGTAGATGAGTCTCAGATCAATCCAGCCTAACCCAGGCTTTTCTCCTGACCCCCAAACTCTTATCTCCAACCACTTATTAGCCAACTTGAATTGGATATCCTACAAACATCTTCAACACAACATGCAGAAATCCTTATTTCAACCTCTTTTTCTTAATGTTTCTGTTATTGTTGAGGACACCACCAGCCTCCCAGGTATCTAGGCTCACAATCTAGGTATCATTCTTGTGTCCTCAATTTCTCTCATCTCCCTCTATCCAATCTGTTGCCAAGTCCTGTCAATTCTACCTTTACAATATCTCTGATTATTTCCTCTTCTTTCCTCTGGTATTGCCACCACCATAGTGCAGGCCCTCATGACTTCATATATGTTCTATTGAAATAGCTTGATAATTGGTGTCCCTGCCTCAAGTCTCTTTCTACTCAAGATCATTCTCCACTTGGTTATCAGAGTGATCTTCCTAATGTACAGGTCTGACTATGCTATCCCCTTTTTCTTTTCTTTTAATTTTAATTTTTAAAATTTATTTTCAATTCATGGAACAAAATAAACATTTTCATAACACAGTAGAATTAAAAAAGAGATGATCGCATATGAAACTACAAATCTACCATATACAACTTGCTATTATGTCCAAATATATATAAAAGTTATCATGTAAATTTCTTTTATTTTCTTCTTTTCCTCTCCCCTGGACTTAGAGATCTATACCATTAGATACAAATAGGTGTGTGTGTGTGTGTGTGTGTGTGTGTGTGTGTGTGTGTGCGTGCGCACGCATAAAATTATTCAATACATAATACATACTTCTATTTATAAGCTCTTTCTCTGGATGCAGACAACATCTTTCTTCATATGTCCTTTATTTTTAATTTGTGTATTTATAGTAGTCAAAGTGACTTAGTTGCTCAAAGTCATTTTTAAAATAATATTGCTGTTATTGTACACAATGTTGTTTTGGTCCTGCTCACTTCTCTCTTCATCATTTCATGTAAATCTTTCCATGCCTTTCTAAGATCATTGAACTCACCATTTCTTATAGCACAATAGAATTTCATCACAACTATACACTACAACTTGTTCAGACATTTCCCAATTGATGGGGAAATGGAAATTCATTTCTTTGTCACCACAAAAAGAATGGTTAAAAACATCCCATTTACATTCAAAGTTATAATTACTATTTGTGAATTTCCCTCCATCCTATTTTTGATCACTATTTTCTTTCTCAGCCTCTCTTTTTATCCTATCCCTATTACCTTATCTTCTCTCCCCACCCTCCCACCTCCAGCTTCACTCACCCCTTCAAGAGTTCCCCTATTCCTTCTCCCATCCCCAGTCTCAATCCATGCATCCCTTCAAAAGTACCCTCATGTTCTCCCCCATCTTTCCAAACCCCAATCCACATACCTCTCTAAAAAGTCCATCCCCCAACATAGCCCACAGTTTTCTCACTGCTTTATGTGTTTAGAAGAATTCTACACCCTTACAGATGTAAACATTATTTCCTCTTCAACCCAGATGAGAGTAAAGTTCCAACATTACTAGCCTTCACCCCCACCCGCTTCTTCCGCATTAGTTCTTCCTTTCATGCCCCATTTTTTTATAATATAATTGCTCCCTTTTACTTTTTCCTACTGAAATTTGCTTTTTACAATCATCCCATCATACACAACTCAGCTCCAACCTTTCTTTCAAACTATCTTAGTAACGACAGTTTTAAGGATACTGTTAATATTTTCATTCATATGTATGTATATATGCATATGTATATAAATATTTAGACTTTAATGAGTAGCTTATAATTAGTCTTTAATGTTTTCCTTACATTTCTTCTGGTTCTTTCATATCAAATTTTCCATTGAGTTCTGGTCTTTTTGTTACAAATACCTGAAACTCTTTCAGTTCGTCAAATGCCTATTTTTTTAAAAATTTATGATTATACTCAACTTTTCTGGTAAGTTATTCTTGGATATGACTCCAGCTCATCTGTTCTTCAAAATATAATGTTCTGAGACCTACAGACTCTTAGAGTAGAAGCTGCTAGGTCTTGTGAAATCCTGACCATTTTTCTGCAGTATTTGAATTATTCTTTTTTTTCTTGTTGCTTCCAATATTTTCTCCTCAACCTGAGAGTTTGGAAACTTGGCTATGACATTCCTGTAAGTTTTCTTTCTGAGGTCTGTTTCAGGTAGTGAGTGGTTATTTTTTCTATTTCTATTTTATCTTCTTGTTTTAGAACTTCAGGGAAATTTTAATAATTTAATCATTTCATGTAATGTTGTATCCAAATTCTATTTTTGATCATAACTTTCAGGTAGTCTGATAATTCTTACACTGTCTCTTCTCTGTTCTCCAGATCAGTTGTTTTTCTAACAAGATGTTTCAGATTCTTTTCTATTTTTTCTAGTTTTTAGTGTCTTATAGCATCATTTGATTCCTGTTGCTCAATTCTAGTTTTCAAGGAGTTATTTTCTTTCTTAAGATTTTGGACCTCTTTTTTCCAATTGTCTTTTAATAATTTTCCAACTGTGTTTTAATAATTTTCTTGGATTGTTTTATTTCCCCCCCTAATTTTTCTTTGATCTCTATGTGATTTTTTAATTCCTTTTTAAGTTTTCTAAGAACTCTTTTTGGCCTTGTGACCATTTGATGTTACTTGTTGGGGTAGAAGTGGCTTTTTTTTTAACCTTGCTATCTTCTTCTGAATATGAACCCAGATCTTCTTTTACACCAAGTAGCTATCTATGGTCAGGTTATTTTTCCTTTGTTTACTCATTTTTATTTTATTTTTGTACCTGATTATTATAATCAGGTTTTAATCTCAATTTGTGAGTAATGGTACCCTACGCTTCAGGTCCTCCTTACTGTTATTTTCTGAATTCTGTTGGAGGGGCTCAACTTCAGGGACTCTCTTTAGTCCCAAATAGGGACACCAACCACACTGTCCCAAAAATGTTCTTATTCATTGTGGAACTGCACTCACCAGGCATATACTCACTCCTCTTCACCCACAGCCACAGCTGGGGTTCATTTCTGATCAGCACTGTTAGAGCTGGCTTTTGGAAATAGCAGGGGTTTCTTCAGTCTTCCTCCACTCATCCATCTGCTGTTCCTTCGATGATAATTAGACGCAAGTTAGGTTAAAACTTGGGTAAAAGTTCATGAGTTGAAATTTCATAAATCCTAGTCCACACTCCAACAGAGCTGTTCCAGGGTCTGCTGTTTGTTGATTCAGTGAAGTTGGCCTAGTGGTCACTACACTTCACTCAGACCAAACCTTAGCCCAGCCTGGAGTCTTTTCTGAGGTCCTCTCAAAATGTCTTAGGAGGACAGCTGCTTTACTCCTTTATTTTTGCTGCTCTAGATTCATTTCATGGCAATTTTCTGTCTGTTTGTGGAGGAAATCTGGAGAGCCTGGAAATTTCTGACCTACTCTGCCATCTTTCCAGAATGGCCTCTCACAAAACACAGATACTTAGGGACAGTCACCCACCTAACCAACCTCTCCAGATCTGTGCTTCTCTGCTCTGATGAAGTCTCATCTGGCTCTCTTGCTTACCCTCCCTTTAGAACACAATGCTGTATAGCCACACTAAGAAGTTCAGTTTAGAATCACTTGTCCAGAAGTTTAGAATTGTAACTGCAGCTATAGGAAGTCCAAGGCTGGAAGAGAGCTCTTGCCAGGAACTGCTGCCTTCTGGCTGCCATAACTCAAGCTTCTTATCTCCCTGATTGTGGTAATGCTATGGTTTTCCACTGTCTTAAGGATAAAATACAAATGATTTAAAGTTTTTTTGAGTTATTTTTTCTCTCTATGCTCTTATCATTTGTAAATGTTTGGGCATTATCTCTCGGCAATTTCACAGACGTCTTCTGTAGTCTTCACCATTACCTGAATTTTGACCTTAATAAGGGAGGAAGTATAGATTAGTGGAATGAGCACTCACTTGGGAGTCAGGAAACTTGTACTCTCATCCTGGCATCACCTTTAAAAAGTTGTGAGACCTCAGTCAAGCCACTTCTCTCGGTTTCGGTTTCTTTCCTTCACTCAGTAACATGAAGGGTTTGGATGAGATAGTAACTAAGATTCTTCCCAGATTTGTTATCATATAATAATGATATAATTGTGAATAATGACTAATATTTTTATAGTACTTTAAAGTTTGCAGTGTGATTTACACATGTTATCTCAGGTATTATTATCAATATTTTACAGATAAGGAAACTGAGACTGCGAGAGGTTAAGTGACTTTAGTAGGGTCATAGATAACTAGTAAATGTCTGAGGCAGGATTGAACTTAGGTCTTCCTGACTCAAAGACTCAGTATTCTATCTATAATGCCACCTTACTTACTTGTATAACTATATTCATTGATGAAACTAGTGCTGGAGGCTCTGCATTGACCAGTGCTTCTCTCCCTAGAGTTCACAGTTCTGAGGCTCGTCAGTGACACCCACATCTGTGCTGGCTGGCTGCAAGTTTTCTACAATGGAACATGGAGACCTGTGTGTAGTAACTTCCTGAAGGATCTTTCCCTCACAATCGTATGCAGGCAGTTGGAATGTGGAGATTCAGGTTGGCTGGAGAATAAACAAGAACCCCATGCAAGCTCTGAGTTTAGCTGGTTGGATAAAATTGAATGCCATAAACACTATACGACCTCTTTGTGGCAGTGCTCATCAGCTCCCTGGCATCCACATTCGTGTTCCCAAGAAGATGAGGCCTGGATCACCTGTACAGGTTTGATATTTTGGATTCTTTGCACTGAAATTATAGTGTCCTGGGTTTCCATCCAACCATTATTTTCTTTTATGTCTATGACCTGTTCTTGTCCACAGTCATAGCATTTCAGTTGGAAAGGAATCCTGAGACCCTCTGTCCAACCAGCCACTTAAACAGGAATACCATTTGCAGCATACCTGACAAATGCTATTCAGTTTTCACTTGAAGACATCCAGTGGTGGGGAGCTCACCACCTGTCAAGTCAGACCACTGTGCTTTTGGACAATGCTCACTGGCAGGAAGTTTTTCTTCACATTGATTCAAAGTATGCTTTTCAAAACCTTTCATCCATTCCTTCCAGTTTGCTCTTTAGGACAAAACAAAACAAACCTAATCCCTCTTCTATGTGGAGGCATCTAACTGGGTTTCTCCGTTCTAAACATCTCCAGTTCTCCAAATGATTCTCATATGAAATGGTTTCTAGTCCCCTTACTGGCTGGGTAATCCCTCTCTTGGTGTCCTCCAACTTAGTAATCAATCAACAAACATTTATTTGGCACCTACTGTGTGTCAGATACTGTGGTAGGCCTTTGTGCAAGTCCAAGGGATGAGCCAAACTCCACTGTCAAGGAGCTTGTCTGTGGAGCTCAAATTGAAGACAGGGCTCCAGATGTGATCTGACCAGGGCAGTGAGGCTGTCGTCTTTCAATGGGGGTCTTTTGCTCTTTATCCTGATATCTCTCAACCCTTTATTCCTATAGGACAGGCAAAGAAAAAACCAAATGAAAACAGAGAGGGTGTCAACTGCTCAGCCTACCAAGAATGCACAGGTATGTATTCATGTGCCTTTGGCTGGGAGTCTTTCTGTCTGCCCCTCGGGGGCTCGTGTCCTCTCAGTAATACCAGTGGCTGCATTTTCAAGGATGAACAGGCTGCGTGTCAGGGATGGAGAGGATGGCTGCTCTGGGCAGGTGGAGGCCTGGCATGGCAGCTCCTGGGGGAGAGTATGTGATGATTCCTGGGACCTGGCAGATGCTGAGGTGGTGTATCAGCAGCTGGCCTGAGGCCCAGCTGTATCAGCTTTGGGAGAGGCTGCCTTTGGACCAGGGACAGGGGCTGTTTGGCTGGATGAGGTGCAGTGCAAGGGGACTGAACTATCTCTATAGGACTGTCCTGCAAAGCCCCAGGGACACAGTCACTGTGGTCACAAGGAGGATGCAGCTGTGAATTGCTCTGGTGAGTGACAAGTCCTTGAAAAGAGTGTGGGTTGTGTAAACAGTAGAGTTGTAACTAGGGTGGGGAGACTGGAGTTTTTACCCAAGGTGAATCCGTATGGGGGTTGTCCCAATACCACCTTGCAAGACTTTTACTTCCTACTTCCTTGTAGCTCTACTCAAGGCGAGCTCCTCTTGACTGGACATTATCCTCAGTGACAGTGGCTTCATGCCAGGACAATTTCCTTATACCATCCACCATGCCCTCCCAGTTCCCATCCTTTTAGGCAATATCCTCACACTCATTTCTCTACTAGCTGCCAGTTTTTTTAAGAATATAGAAATGCACAGTCACTTGCGGATTACTTCCTGTGAGTAGACCTCAGTTCAACATCTCCATCCCTGTGTTCTCCCTCCCTAAGTGCAAAAATTACTGTTTACTTCTTCTACCATAAATGCAGCTTTGGGTGTCTATATAGTCACAGAACTATAAACTCAGGGCAATCAATCAACATTTATATAGCATCTACTATATGCCAGCCCCTGGGCTAAGTGCTGGGGTTACAAAAAGAGACAAAAGACAGTCCTTGCCCTCAAGGAACTTATAATCTGTTAGGCAGAAAAGTCCAAGTCATAAATAATATGGATTATAGCATTAAAGGAAACTTTGGGTGGCAGAGGGTGCCACAGCAGCTCTCCATACAATTTTCAGTAGAAAATGGAGCAGGCCTCTATATTCAGTGTGAGAATATGACCAGACTGGGGTTAGCTGCTGAAAAGATCCTAATGAGGGCAGTCACCCTTTTAAGATGATCATAATAAAGGCAGTAATGGTATTCAGCTGCTTTGGGCACTGTTTCTATTCTCTCCTGAAACACAGAAGCTTATATTGCAACTGTAATATTTTAATAAGAGGCTTAATATTGTTAACAACAGCACAGTAGTCCATAAATCCCAAGAGTGAAGGATCTGAGACTCATGGACCCAAGAGAGGCTGCTCACAGTGAGTCAGTCCCATAGAGACTTTCCTTTACTATGGAAACAAAAGGGATTTGAGAAGGTGCTTAGGTAGGAGGTGCAAAGGGACCATTATTTGTGAACCAAGTATCTCTCTTGGTACTTTCTCATTTTCCTTGGACAAAATTCTCATCTCATCCTTAACCTGGTGTTGTCAAATGAATACTGAACTTGGAGCCAGAAGACCTGAGTTCCAATTGTGGCACAGACACCTATTGACTCTTTGACAATGGCCATGTTCCTTAACTTCTCCAAGTCTCAGTTTCCCCCTCATTAAAGGCAGATAATAACTCTTGCACTAGAAATCCCTTGAGTTGTTGTGAGGAAAGTGTTTTATAAGCCATAAAGTATTATTATACTATTTTTACTAATTCTTTGGAATCAGTGACCTAGCTGGAATATCTTGAGGACCTGTGCAAGAAGCCAGTCCTGCACAATTGGGTTTCTTATCAGAGGGATGTGAAGGGAGTTGAGGGCATGCAGATTTGCTGACATATGTAATTATGGTGAGGCCCGTGAGGCTGTGGAGGAGGGATGCACTCATCTCCCTGGATTCTCTTGATTTCCCATTCCCATTAAGGTATCCTGCTATTTGCTCAGAAGGGAAATACACTTTTTGTGGTCATCAATTTTGTCCTTGGAACTCTTCTCTGCCTCATCTTAATACTTCTGAGGGCTCTGATGTGGAACAAGAAAAGATCCTGCCTGGGTAAGTGGCTGGAGGGCATGGATGAATTGGATAATTTTAATAGCTAAGGATAGGACATCTAGTAAAAAAGATATATGGAATCTTCTGACTTGTGGGAAAACAGTCTTCTGGGCATAATGATGTAACAATCGTCCTTCGGGGCACAAAGTATCTCTGATGATCCAATGTTCCTCTTTATATTATCATTATTCCATTTTTAAATTTTTGTGATTGTTGTGAAGATCTGTGAAGACATTAGGATTATGGTTTCTATGTCTTGAACTGCTTTGGATATTAGGAGAATGGGCTAATTTCTCTGTGAGTCTATCAAACCTTCTGGGGGCAAGAGTATTTGCTTTGCAGAGGCGGAGCTTGATTTATTGTTTTGTTGATTGTCTAGGCTTTAGAAAGTGATGGAGAAAATGGTAATGATACAGTTTAATCTTAAAATTGTGTTGCGTGTACATTTTTTTTGAGAGCTGGTTGTTAGATATTTACCAGCATACCCTGCACCCATGAGTATGAAAAAATATACATACATGTATAATACATATATACATACTTTTACATGCATGTATATATGTATGCATTCATTCTCTGTCTCTCTGTCTCTTTCCTTTTCCCCACTCTACTATGCTAGAAAGTATGATGCTTTTGGAGTATTTTACCTTTATGTTCTCCCTTCAGATTCTAGACTGAATGCACATTCTTCTCCTGAGGTCGTCTGTGAGGATGTTTCACACATTGAGTTGGGGGAAGAGAATGAAGAAATGGAAGAGCTGTAAGAACTACATGATGATGCTGAGGAAGGTGAGGACCGTATAGTTTAGGAGAAGGAATACGAGAAGGAAAGGCAGAAGACATCTCTTCCTCAGATCTTCACTTCCAGTCCTTATTTCCATTTTCTCATTCTGTAGCTCTACAGAAAGTTTGGGTCTGGTTTGCAGATATAGAGGGAAATGGAAAGCAAGGAACTCATTATTTTTATAGGCAAAACTGCCTTGTCGGGAATTTTGAGGAGTTCCTCAATGCAAATCCATATTCCACTACTCCTTGCATTAGAAATACTGTGGTAGAATGAATTTTGGAGGGCTTTTTTTTTTAACCAATGATACAGCTGTTCATATATTCACCTATTTCTTATTGCTGCATGAAAGTCATCTTATCTTTACTCACAACAAATTCTAACAAAATTTCAGATTTTTATTTTTTTTACCATAGAAGAGGTCACCTTCTACTCATAGTTTTTTTTTTCTACTCCTTACAGCATTTTGTTTTTTTGATGGGGAGTACTGTTGGGGTGGTTTCTAATATCATTTTCCTGTATGAGACCTCCCTACAAAAGGAAAATCTGGTAATCAAACTAGCAAACTTTGATCTTCTCTTTGTTAAATCAGGTGAGTATGAAGCCTAGGGTACGAGTCATCACACCTAGCTCATGATCTTGGCTCTGCCAGGAACTAGTTGTGTGACCTTGGCCAAGTAAGTTATTTTGGAGTTTTTCTAGACCTTGTTTTCCTTCTCCATAAGATAAGGAAGTTATACTGCATGATTTCTAAGTTTCTCATCATATGTATTGTTCTAAGGTTTCTGCTAATCCAATATTGTGCTAAATATTAAATATTCTGCTCATATTTGCTTCTCACTCTGACCCTGTTCCTTTCTCATCTGTGAGAAGGGTGAAAAATGGAGTTAGATCTCTTGGGATGGCAGGAATGATGTCGTTACTATTTAAGGGGGCAAAGAAAATGGCCTTTATGTTCTACAACCTCCAGGCTCTCACTTTCACATTCCTCACTTTTTTAATGTCTTGTGCTAAAGCTTACCTATGCTAACAAGTTCCTTTTCTTCAAGCCTCTCCCTTCTGATCATCCCATCAGACCTCTCTGACACTAACATATCAGAATGGAGAATAGGTGTTGGTGGGCAAAGTCTGGAAAAAAGGGCACTGATGATAGAACATATAGAAACATAAACACACACCCACATATATATATATATATATATATATATATGTATATATATATATATATATATATATATATATATATATATATATATATATGAAACGTTCAGATGAAGAGAGAGTGAAGGGAAATGGGAACAGCGTGAAGAAAGGAGTACCATTGTACAAGAGTATGGGGCAAAGGAGAAAGGGATATAAGGACTAAGGCACTGAGAGGAGAAAGAAGAGCACTGAGAAAGAAAGTGACAAAAAAAGGGAGATAGGCAGAGAAAAAGAAGAGAGAAGGAAAAGACGAGGGAAGAGATATGAAATTTCTTGTAATTTTGAAGCCATGATGGATAAAAGCAGGAAGGGCATGAATTTGGCAGAAAATTGAATTGCATATGGGGATAAAAATGCAGTTCTACATGAAGTATGATTTGAGGCATACAGAGGCATAGGTTTTTCCTGCTTCACCTTGCCTTCTCTGAAGCCATGTGGGCAGAGCAATCAAATGGAGGTTGCACACTTGGGGACACATATGACTAGGGCCAGGACAGCTAAAATTGTAAAAGCTACAGAACTGCCAATGTCCTCCTGGGGGATATGCTGGTCTCTGTGGCTGTCTAATGGGCATAACTCTTATGCCTTCTGGTCACTTCTTCTGGGTGTCTTGCCTGTGTCATCTATGCTAGGCTTCTCTCCTGGTCTCATGACTGGCAAATTGCTTTCTGCTACCATTTGCCGGGCTTCAACCATTCAGCTTCTGTGGGGATATTTATCCTCTCCAGACTTGCCTGCTATTTTTTGATGTCTATTTGGACGTAGCAACTAGAAAGTCCCTTCCTGGTAGGCAAGACTGAAGCCATTTTAGAGTATAGACAGTGCTGTGAGTTGCCACACCCAGCCAGGTAGTCAAGAAAAAAAGTGAGCAGAATTTAGTCTTTTCTTTTGACTGCTATTCTGTTGGTGCTGACTTGTGGCTCATGACACTGGACAGTTTTCTAGCAGGGTTAAAATATTCTTTTTTAAACTAATTTAAATCCTGATTATGAATCTGAAACCCCTAAGCCCATTTTTGAGGACTCCATCTGCCAAATATGCGCAGGAGCTCTGTGGAAGCTGGCCCCTCTCACTCCTAGGATCCTCTGGCAAGCAAATGAAACTGGAAGGAAGAACAAAAGCCTGGGTAGTTCAAGCAGAACTACTAACCTCTGTCCTTTCTCCTTGTTCTTGCCTTCACTATATGCACCTACTAGTGATGTTTGTGCCCAATATCCCCCAACACAAACCTCGTCGTCTTTGTCTTTCTGTTTTTTTTTTTTGTTTTTTTGTTTTTGCTAGCCAATGGAGTTAAGTTACTTGCCCAGGGTCTCACACAGCTAGTGAGATCAAGTGTCTGAGGCTAGATTTAAACTCAGGTCTTCCTGAATCCAGGGCCAGTGTTCTATCCACTGTACCACCTAGCTGCCCCTTGGTTGTTTAAGATCCCCAAAAATGTGATATGAAGTCACTTTGTTGTTTTAGAAAGGTTAAAATAGTTTGCGTATAGAACCATGATATCTGGCTTCTGTTTAGAGAATGAAGGGCTATGGAATATTGAAAAATTGCATCCAAAATATATTTTCTTTTTTTCTACCAATACATTTTTTAAAGTTCTGAGACTTCTTTTTGTTTTTACTATATATATATATATTTTCTCTTTCTCCTTAATAGCTTTGACAGAGACAACAACAGAGCTAGAAATATGAGAAGCAGTGCTTAAGCTTAGGATCATGGCCATAGTAGACTTGTGGAGGCTATAACATCCACATGCAGAAATAGAACGGGAAAGTTTTTTTTTTAAAGTAAATGCCATTCTAATTCTTGAATTAACTTTGTTTAACATTTCTGTTTCCTTATTTTACTTTCAGCTCCAAAACAAAATACTGATCACTGGTGTGAATGTAGAAGTTCTTGGGTACACTCTCTGCGAAAGTTATCACATGTTTCTCTCTTTCAAATTTCAGGTTGGGTTCAACACCCCATAAGGATCAAGGACTTTTCTTGGATGGAAGAAGGTGACCAGTCTCAGTCTCTTGAATAGGATAATATTGAATTGAATGTTTTAGGGATGCCAACAAAGTAAGACAAAATTCAAAATAAAACCTCCTCTGAGGTTGACTATATGTCAGTTCCCTTCCTCACACGGCTATGGTCTATTTTGTAAAGACATGAAGTAGTGCATTTTTTCTAAATTTCCTTTAAAAATAACCAGACTAATTATTGGTTTTCCCTGCCATGCATAGTTTGTGGTTTTTGTTCTTAAATTGTGATTGACTTCTTCAAGAACTTCCTGCCAGCATGGGGAGTAGATTGGCCGAGTTAGCTGGATTTTATCTTTAGAGGCTTTTGAGTGCCTAACGTGATACCTCATACACAGTGGGCAAAAATGTGGCAGAGATAATGTGGGGACAATGGGTGTGGTGAAAATGTATGTACATATTAGTAATAATAATGACGATGATGATAGTGATGATAATGGTAACAATAATAATGATAAATTAACCATTGAATAAACTGGGTATCCAATAAAATGTAAGCTTTCTGAGTAACTCATTTTTGATTTCGCATCTGTAGTTTCTAGTCTGTACTTATATATAAAAAAAACTTAATAAAAGTTTGTCTATTAAATTGTTTCCATTGACCTGTCTTTGTTGGGAGTAGACATTGGAAGGAGAAAATTTGGTCTAAATGAAAAAGGATAATGGGGAAGATGAGAACATTGAAAATTATTCTTGGTCTCTTTGAGAGTTAAATCACCACTGCTTCACTGCCCCCCACCTCTCAATCAAATATTAAGTCTGGCTGAAGAGGAAGAAATATCACTAAATATAGTGTTAAGCTACAATTCCTTTGGGAACTGGAGAAGCAACAGGTAAAAGAAGTAACATCTTGTCCCTTCATGGCATTACAAAGTGACAGAAGTATATTGGAGGCAGAGGCCAACTTGACTAGTGAGAAAGAGAAACCTGACTCTGTTTTCCCTTTGTGTGCCATGTGTATGTAGAGGGTTATAAACTACAACTACTCCAGAAATCTAGAAACCCTTGACCTACAAGGCCTCTTGCAGAGCTCATCAGAAGGGATTTTTCCTTGATTCAATAACAACCCTGGATGTTTTTATAGCCTTTCGTGGAAATGGTAGAATTACAATTTGAGAGGACAGGATTGGCGAAGACCCATTGGAAACAAAAAGGGAATTTTTTTTTTTGGCTATGCAATGGGGTTAAGTGAGTTGCCCAGGGTGACACAGCTAGTGTTATGTGTTTGAGGCTGAATTTGAACTCAGGTCCTCCTGATTCCAGGGCTGGTGCTCTGTCCACCATACCACCTAGCTGCCCCCCTTTTTAAAAGTTATTCTTTTTAAAAATTTTAATTTTTTTTTTTTTTTGTGAGGGCAATTCACACAGCTAGTGAGCGTTATGTGTCTGTGGTCACATTTGAACACAGGTTCTCCTGACTCCAGGGCCGGTGCTCTATCCACTGCAGCACCTAGCTGCCTCTGAAAAAAAAAGGGAATTTTCTAAAAGTTTATGGGTTAGGTGCTAGCTCTTCACATTTTCTTTGTTGGGTAAAGAAAAGCCTTTTCTAAATTCAATGTCATATTATCCCAAATGCTTGCAGATAGAGCTGGACACTTTTCCTGGTAAGAGTGATCTCAGAGCTGTGATTCCAAATATAGGTTAGATGATTTTTGTCATACCACATGTGTAAATGTCTCTGTTAACAGGAACATCTGAACTAGAAGTGGGTGTGAGGGGGAATTTTAACATCTGGGGTATGAATGAC